GTTAGATTTTTATTCTTTGTTATGTTGTAGTTGTTTGATTTTGAAATATATATTATATAGATGCGTTACATGAAAAAAAATCCAGGTAGAATAGTCCTATTTTAAAAACTTCAGGATCTTTGTGGATAAACAATGTATTCTTTAGCTTGATATATTCATTGTGCTTCACAGAGTTTTATGTTCACTTAAAGATATAATAGTGCAGACTATCACATGCCACTGTATAATGTGGAGGTTGTTGATAAATTCTTATATCTGAACATTTTATTTTGTTATTTGAAGGCAACTGCATTCTCCTAATTTCATATTCAAGCTTATCCGTGTGTCATTAACAGTCCATGTTTTTCTGAGCATAAGAAAGCTTGGATGCAAACTCTCATTTGCACATTTACTGCATCTAGTGCTATCACAAGCAGACCCCATGTGTGATGACCCGGGGCACAGCACAGAGGCAACACAGTCAGTTAATAGTTTAAACCTCCCTTTTATTGCGCCAACTTTTCCCCAATTGCTCTCACGTTTTTAGCAAGTCCTAGAGCAAAGTGAACACACACACATACACACACACACACACCCTCCAGCAGCCTCTGGCTGCAAGTAGTCCAGCACAATGCTGTGAGCACAACTGCTGCAAAGCAAGAAATCCAGCAGGGCAAGGGAATAGGTTGATGAGTCCAGGAAGCAAAGGAACAAGGCAGTTAATCCAGGAAGCAAGCAAGCAAGAAAGAAGTCCAGAAAACGTTGGCAAAGGCACACAATACTCCATGAATTCAGCGTTTGTTCCTGACAAATGCCCCTCTCCACAATGTGTCCTTAAGTCTCAGTCCTCAGATGTGCCTTGTGAAGTGGGGCAGGGCGCTTTCCTCCCAAGTTGTCAGGTCAGCCAGCGCTCTTCCCGCCTTCTCTCTAGTCTCCGTGGTCGAGGAGGGGATGGTCCTTCCTCAGCTCATGTTCACTGCTTAGCCTTTCTTGGTCAACCTGCCCCTGTTCCTCCCTGACTACAAGCTGCACCAATCCTGAAAGTCCTGGACTGACTCTGCGTGCTCCTTCCCACATTTCTCCAAAGCCAACGAAGCTGACCCCTCGATCACCGTGAGCTCTAGTTCAGACTCATCTTCCTCCGCAGATTCATGCTCCGACAGGGGCATGACACTTGTGTCACTATTTTTGTAGTTATTCCTTAAAGGCATCTCTTTGGAATAGCACGTTTGGGAGAGATTGGGAAATGAGGATATTGGCTTTTATGCCTAAACTTAAATTTTACCACTCACAAAGAAGAATATTTAGAATCCAAATCAGCATTTCTTTCCCCTGTGCATCCTGTCTTCCTAACCATAGCTATCCACTTTTGTTAGTAGCACCTCAGGGAATTATGAATACAGTTGAAAGATTTCAGTAGCTGCAGTCATAGGAGCAACTTCTGTCTTTTTTTCTGTCATGAACTTGCTATCATTGGTAAGTGCATACCAATGAATAACTTGCTTATGAAAGAAAATATTCCCTCAAGATTACATTCTATTACCATTTTGTGTTCCTCTCCCATTATGCTAGGATCTCCGTCATTTCAATAGATTCTGATCTGTGTTTCTTTCTTTCCTGTTTTTCTTCTTCTCAGATTCAGTGGAAGCTGGTGAAAAGCTTGTGCAAACCGCTCTGGATGCTTTTGGGAAAATAGGTACATTTCAAATAGAGGCATAGTTTGTTAGATTAGATAGCTGGAACCTCCTTATTATTATTCTGTATTATTTCATGAAAAAAAATGAAGCGGTCTATTATTCAGGAGAAAATCTGCCATAACAAAGGAATGGCTTTATCAAGCTCCTTAACAAATTTACTTTTTGATGAAAGCTGTAATTACTTGTACTAGTAGTAATCAAGATATTTTCTCCAAGATGAGTTCTCTTTAAGTTTTTTTAAGATTAAGATTTATTTATTTTTTCTCTTCCATCTGTAAATTTTAAATTATATTTTTTGATATCATTAAAGCTTTATCATGGTCAACACAAAATTCTGCCTCAGAAGAAATTGAACTTCCTCTGAAATCAAGCCAAATATGTTTGATCATGAAAAGACCTCTCCATCAAGTAGAGGAGGGGTTGTCAAACTCACGTCATCACGTGACATATTGGGACTTTTCCCCTTCACTAAACCGGGCGGGGGTGTGGCCAGAATGTGAGTTTGACAGCCCTGAAGTAGAGGCATGAGCAAAATAAAAATAATAAATTCTTTTTGTTTAAAGCCACATTCCATTGATGGAAACAAAGCAACAATAAAGAATCCTCATAAGAATTTTCACTTTTCCCCCTTTAAACTACACATACGCAAAAACTGATATGGTTATTCTTTTAGATAAGATCTTTTTCCCATTAGCAGCGCAACTGCATATTTATGCTAAATTGAATGGTGGCCTGAAACCTGGACTTGCTTACCAGCAAATAGCTACAATAGTATGCATCAGCATGTTCTTTTTTCTTTATTTTATAAATGTTACTTCATAGAGATACAGAAATGCATTTGAATTACAATGAGGCTGTTAAGCCTGTTTTAACTTATTGCAGAAAGCAAGCAAATGGCTGTCTGCTGCACTTGCCCAGAATTCTGAAACCATTACATTCATTCTACGAAAATGCAGAGTGTCCCTTTCTATGTCTGAGTTCATTTTTACTGCTTAAGAGATGATCATAGTTCAGACCTACATGCAGTGTCAAAGGTGTTTGCCAGCCTTTGATAACCATAATAATTCTGAAAGTCTTTTTTCCTTTATCTATTTTGGTAAGGACAAAATTAAATGCAAATAAGGTGTTAATAAATGTTATCCTTCATGCCAGAAGCAAGAATAGCTAGATTTGTTTCTTAATAATTTTGTATTGATTTAATTTACAGATATTCTGATCAATAATGCCGGGTAAGTTGATCTAAATGTTATTTTATTTTTTCCCCCATTACACTGGAATATTTTTGATTCAATTTATGACAATTTCTCTCTTCTTTTTTCTTCTTTGACACGTAGGATATTGAGGGACCGTTCCTTTGCTAGGATCAGCGACGAAGATTGGGGTAAGTTGTACCCCAGTTACAATTATATACATAGTCCATTTTTAAAATGAACATATTATATACTTAATGTATTTCATGCCTTTTCGAGGTCTAGATATATTCTATGGCTTGAATTGTTTCTAGATATAATTCACAAAGTTCATTTGAGGGGATCCTTTCTCGTAACCCGAGCTGCATGGAACCATATGAAAAATCAGAAATTTGGAAGGTAAGTAGACATGATTGCTCACCAAATATATATACTGATCAGACTAAAACCATTAGATTAGACACAGAGAATATAGTTTGTGGTTTGTGATTCTACTGTACCAATAGTTATTTCTCATAAAAATTTCAGCATGAAAAACTACTTCTAAAGTAGAATCCTCATCTCTACAGGCAACCAAATAGAGGTCTATTCATATATCAGAATATTATTAGATTTTTAAAAAAAGCAACAGTATAATTGCTAATACTAATCAAGGTAGCATTTAAAGTGCTGAAAAAAACCTGCATTCTTTATCTATAAACTTTTCCACAGCCATATAAACTACATTTTCCATGTTGTAGCTGCTGCAACTGAACCTGGAAATCTTGCCTAAGATTTCCAAATGTGGAGTTGATAGTGGAATTGAAGCTACCATGAATGGTTTCTTACTGAGTACTGCAGTAATTTGAAAAAGAAGCATGGGTGGTACAATTCATAATAGTGTTTAATTGGAAGCCCGGAGTACAGGGATGAAATTCAGCAGCTTCTGATAGATTCTGGAGAACCGGTAACAGAAATTTTGAGTAGTTCGGAGAACCGGCAAATACTACCTCTGGCTAGCCCCATAGTAGGGTGGGAATGGGGATTTTGCAATATCCTTCTCCTGGAGTGGGGTGGGAATGGAGATTTTGCAGTATCCTTCTCATGCCACGCCCACCAATCCATGCCCACAGAACCAGTAGTAAAAAAAAATTGAACTTCACCACTGTTAGAATACAACCCTTTCTGATCTTTTATGACATTATGGAAATTATGATTAGCCACATCTGAAATCCACAAGTTGGAAATTATGACAATGGAGGTGCTGGATTCTGGAACTCCTATATACCATACACATTGGAAGTTGTTTTTAATTAGTTTTTTTCCCATTAGCCCCAAAGCCAAAACATTGCTAACTAGCATTTCACCCAAACAGCAAGAATAGTTCTCAGTAAGAACTGAAAACTACTCCTGTTGTTTGGGTAAAATGCTAGTTCTCTGAATAATTTTAATGCTTTTAATGTTGATAGATTGAATCTAAAATTCAATATTTTTAGGAAGATATTTCCCTATTACATTACATTTGCGTCATTGGTTGCACTTAATCACATTTAAATATGATACAGTTTAGAAATAATGATCATATTAAAAAAGAATTGCTTGTTCTGTTTTTATTTTGTCTGCATTCACTTTTCTCAGTTTGTAAACTGTTTTCCATAAGTTGTCCCTAAATAAGGACTGTGAGTTGTTTTTTTTCTTGCAACTCTTTGATTCTATTTTGATCTAAATTCAGCTAATTTTCATTACCAATAGCACATTCTGAAAGCAAATTTATTTGCTCTGTGAGTTAACTAGGACCTATCTCTGTATTCAGTACTTATGAAATATAACTTTTGTAGTTACTCCATGCCTATCAGTTCTTCAAAGACGTTGGATTAAAAGTTGTCTGATGGTAGTCACAGTAACACGCTAAATGGGTCCCTTAAACACAGCTACTTCAATATTTTTTATGAAACCTAAAGCAGAATAAGAGAAGATATTGAAAACAGTTTATTTTCTGTTTAAAGAATGTTCATTGTTCCTTTAAAACTTTGTTAAATGGCAATGTTGTCTAATTAGCACAATTTTTACATCTTGTTGCTGCTTTTTATAGAGAGGTTTATGTATTGAGCCAAATGTTTTTTTATGCAGTATCACCCAATTCTATTGCTTTGACTGATGCAGTCCCCTTCAACCTTCCATCAGGCTTTTTGTTGCTGTATTCTAATCTCAATTTCCTACTGTTTGTTTTCAAGAATAATCATGACTTCCTCAGCTGCTGGAATATATGGGAACTTTGGCCAGGCTAATTACAGTGCTGCCAAACTTGGCGTTTTGGGTCTGGGAAACACACTTGCAGTTGAAGGCAAGAAGTACAACATCCACTGCAACACGATTGCTCCCATGGCAGGCTCCAGGATGACACAGACAGTTATGCCTCCAGGTAAATAATTGTAAACATTCGCAACAAATTAGCTTGAGTGTATGATAAAATATCTCTTCTGTTCTCTACTCCTGAGGCTTGTTTTTGCATAAATTTCATTTTCCCTAGCTATGTTGGATGCCCTCAAACCAGAATATGTGGCCCCTCTTGTCCTTTGGCTGTGTCATGAAAGATGTCAAGAGAACAGTGGACTGTTTGAGGTAATATCCATTTATTGTTCTTTCCTAGCAATGGGCCTTGCATCCATCACATTTTCCTTCTCTCTCCCCCTCTCCCCCTCTCTCTCTCTCTCTCTCTCTCTCTCTCTCTCTCTCT